TTGTTGTTGTATTATTGTTATTTATAATTTGTACAATTAACCTCCATGTGGTTCGACCCTAGTCTTGCCGGGTTATTTATTACTTCGACACTCCTACACTTGGGAGAAGACATCAATCTTTTAGTCATGCCAGCTACTGATATATTCTAAGACAAAAATAAACTAAAATAATACCTTTTTATTGTTTTCTTTGAGGATGAAACATGTGTAGTTCAATTTGGGAGAAATAAGAAGTTCTTTATTGTTTGTCGAAGAGAGAAAGAGTTTCATGATTGGTTGTTTGGTGTCTCTATTTGTTATAGTACTAGTCCATTGGCCCACGCTACGCCATAGGCTGGATAATTTTTTTAAAATATAAAAAAAGTATTAAGAGCTTGAAGAATTCTTTAATTGTTTTATTCAACTTGACTTAATGGGTCAAATTTGAAATCTCGCAATTTAACTATTTATCTAACTCGAGTTTCAAACTAAATCATGCAAGACTTAGCCCGAATTAAATTGATTGATTTCATGGATCCAAATGCAATCTTGATAATGGGTAAAAACATGGCTTAACTTTTGATAAAATTTCAAGATGATAACTCTTTTAACAAAAATTATTAAGACAATGACATATTTAATCAATCTCAGTCCGCCATTGAACCATGTTGTGGACTCTATTGAGTTTACTAATTTTTTTTTTATAAAATATATGGTAACAAAATTATACACCAACCTAAAAACAAAAACTTATCTGAGACAATCATAACTTTGCAAAAAAAAATAAAAATCATATAGTTTATTCCTCAACTAATCCAATATTGAAAGATAAAATCAAGAAAAAAACTATTAAAAACAATTATTAAATAAAATATCAACCTAATACCATAGTTATTAGACCCGACCCATTAACCCAACAAGAAAATTAAAAAAAAATTAAGGCTTTAATTTCTCACGTTAAAAATTTAAGAAATAATTCATGTGGATATAGGTTATACATGTTGTAAATAATGAACTTTAAAAAATTACTTTAAAAGATTTTTTATATCATATTAAAAAGATATTATTTTTTCCTTTTAAGTTGAAGTATTTAAACTAAAAATTTTTCTTATCTCATATTGAAAAAACACAACTTTCTTCTTGTAAACATATAATATATATATATATATATATATTAATGGGTTTTCAATCCCATATTGAAAATCAAAAGTTTCTTCTGGTGTTTATATAGTGAACTTTGATAAGAGTTGGTAACCAATAAAGAAAAGATAATAAGCTTGTGCGTATAATTTTAAATCGAGTTAGTGAAAAACCAGTGATTAACCCCCAATGCACGCAAGACAACACTTATGTTACATGTACATAACCTTGTCTTTCTTGACAATTTATTCTATTCCACATTCATGCCATATAAAAAATATGCATCTCTAGCAATCCAATGATCCTTTTGTCTATTAATTGATTATTCAACCTATTTAGAAAAATTGTAACCTTAAAAAAATTAACATAATCTAATTAAAATATAAGCTCAAATTTTATTTTTTTTAAAATAACATATTAAATAATGCTTATCATTAAAAAAAAATCAAAATTTATAAAGAAATAAAAAAAGCTTGGCTACGCCAAGCCTAGAGTTTGGCCCATGCCTAAAAGCCCCATACACGGGCTTTAATTATATTTTTGTTAGATACTGGGGCGGACGACAATTTAAAAAAGAAGAAGAAGAAGTTGTAGGCAACACGTCGCTTATCATACCTAGATTCCGGCCGTTATAATAGCTAAAAAATCAGGGTAACTGATTTTTTTCTTCTTGAAATTCATTCTCAACCTAAAACACTTAAAAACCACCCTAATAATCTTTTTAAACTAATCCCTAACTTTCAAAAGCATAAAAAACCGGTCAAAAATTCAAAATCAACCAGGAAACCAATTTCTTTCCTATACCAGAACTTGTTTTTTTAAGAATTTTCAAGGTAAAAAAACACTCAAGTCTAAATTCCTCCATCATATGGAACCATTTGGAATAAAAATATAACATTTTAATTGTTATAATTGAAGAAATGATATTTCTCTCTTTCTAGGCTGGATTCTAGCCATTTTATCTCTCTCATTTCACCCACTAAGGACTGAAAAATGATGAAAATGAATGCCTTGTTTGTGTGATAAAAAGTGGTTTCCAAGAAACCACTTTTCAAATTTTCATGTGTCATGTGTTTGTTTGTCATTAGAAAATTTGGTTAATGAAAAACAGTTTCCAGTTAAAGAAAAATTTGACTTGATTTTCAGGAAAGTGTTTTCCTTTTATTTTGGGCATACTTTTCTGGAAGTTATGAAAAATTTAGAAATATCATATTATTTGCTAATTATATTAAATTTGGTCCTTAAACTTTGCTATATATATATATATTATTTTGATTTTTTTTTCAATTCCCTTAGAATTTGATTTTTATATTAATTGTTGTCCTCATTTTTATAATTTTTATTTACTTTCTTCTTATTATTTTTAATTGAATTTTTTTATCTATCAAATTTGATCCTCATTCTTTTGATTTTTATTTATTTTATTTGAAAGAATTTATGAAATGATAATTATTATTATTTTAATTTCTTCATCTTTAATTTTTTTATTTGTTAGATTTGATCTTTATTATTTTGATTATTATTTATTTTATTTGAGATAATTTATGAAATTATTTTTTTTCAATTTCATTCTCATTCAACTTTTTAATTTGTAGGATATATTTAATAAACTTGAAAAAAATAAATTATTAATAAATTATTTTCCTGCTCATTTTTCATGACATAACCAAATACTGAAAAGTATTTTCCAATATATTTTCCATTACATTGCCAAACATGTAAAAATAATTCACTTTCTTAGAATTTACTTTTCAAAAAAAATTACTTTACAACAAACAAACAAAGCCGAAATTTAGTACCGAAATGTAATTGTTAAAAATGAAAAAAAAATAGAAGACAAAAATATATTTTATAAATAAATTTGAACACACCACCCTTATTTTTGCATTTTAATCTCTTATCTTTCAATTCAACCTTCACACACAAACAACATTCAATTAAGCTCTATTTGGACTTAATTACACAAAAAAAATTCAAAAATGAAATTAAAAATTTTAAAAAATATTATTATTATAATTGACAATAAAACATTAAAGGAGGAATAGTAAAATTATATACATTGAGAAAGGCATGTGGTTTATATTGGGATACTATGGTCATTTCATTATATTTAAAATTTGTCTTTGATGAAGCTGTAAATTATAATTTTTAAAAATTTGATAAGCAAATGTAATTTTTGTGAAATTATAATAGAATGTCATAGATTATTTTTTCTTAAAAAATTAAAGGACTCCTAACATGAAATTAAATATTTTAATATGTATTTATTTCTATACTTCCCCCGTTTCATTTGTAGTTATCAAGTTTTTTTAATATTTTCTGACATCTTTAATAAACAAACAGATTGAATTTTAAGTTTATAATAATTCCTTTTTACTGTTAGAGGACATAAACATGTTAATAATAAATTGCATTTTTTTACGTTAAAAAGTAATTTTGACCCACCGTTGACCAGTAGTGACCTAATGCATGGGCTCCTAGGAGAATCAAAAGATACCAAGCGTTAAGAATCCAACCTGTAAATGGTGGGGCACTTATTCCCTCATAATCAACGGACGCGGAAAGAACCGATCAAACGCTCTGTTCAGCATAGAAGTAAATCAGACCAAAGAATATGATGACACGTATGTTATTTACTATGGCCCTCACTGCCGCTTTTATTCATCTCTCTCCTTTTTCACCCAATCACAAATAAAATGTGGAGGGAGTGCATGGAAAGCTTGAATTAGGGCATCGTTGCAGTTTTCTCTGCCTAGAACAAAACCTTAGCCACCAATGGGAGACCCGGCCACGCCGCCAGCATCAGAACTCGCAGCGATGGCCATAATCGACGGGGCATCTCTTAAGCACCGTCCCTCCTGAGGGTACAAAGCAGAAGATTGAGCTCCGTGTTGAAAGGGTGCTCCATGTAGGCCCCACCGATCCTGCAAAGTACCCGATTCCCAAAACGAAGCTCTCTCTTGAGTTTTTGAGGGATCATATTCACCTTCGGCCCCGAACTAACACGGTATTATCGAATTCTTGCTTCTTTGTTTATTCTAGTTTGTGTTATTGAATCCTACTAATTCTTGTTTTGAAAGCATAGGCACATGTATGTATGTATGTACTAGCGTTTTTTTTTTTTTCATTATGTTGTTGACAGATGTTTCTTTGTAGATTTCTGCAGTTGCTCGAATTCGCAATGCACTTGCTTTTGCCACGCACTCTTTCTTTCAAGAGCATGGTTTTCTATACGTTCACACCCCCATCGTCACCACAAGTGATTGTGAAGGTGCCGGTGAAATGTTTCAAGTTACTACCTTGATTAATGAAGCTGAAAAGCTGGACAAGGAGCTGATTGAGAACCCTCCTCCTACAGAGGCTGACATAGAAGCTGCAAGGCTTACTGTTATGCAGAAAGGTGAGGTTGTTGCTCAACTCAAAGCTGCCAAGGCAACCAGGGACGATATTAGTGCTGCAGTCGCAGGACTAAAAATAGCCAAAGAGGATCTCTCAAGGCTGGAGGAAAGAGCTAAGCTTAAACCTGGTATCCCTAAAAAAGATGGCAAGATTGATTATGCTCAGGATTTCTTTTCTCGTCAAGCTTTTTTGACCGTCTCTGGCCAACTTCAAGTTGAAACATATGCCTGTGCTGTCACTAGTGTCTATACATTCGGACCAACCTTTAGAGCTGAGCATTCTCACACTTCAAGGCATTTGGCTGAGTTTTGGATGGTGGAGCCTGAAATAGCATTTGCTGATCTTCAGGTATATTACCACGTGCTGTTCTAATTGGTTTATCTGGCTCTTGTACACTCTTAAGACCCTAGATCTCTAGAGTTTGTGCCAGTAATTGCAGGATTTGGTCTTCATTTAACCGAATTGTTAGTGATGTGTTGTTTATCAACGAATTTGCTTAACTACATGATTTATATTATATGCTATGGATCTGTTCAGCTGTCTCATAAAGTATGGCGTTGGGACTCCTATTTTGTGTTTATAAAAACACTATTTTTGAATAAAGACCAACATCTTATGTGTGAAGCAAAGGTTAATTCTTTTAATGTCTCTCTGGATTTTACTAAAGTGAGGGAATCATTTGTGCTTGACATGGAGTAGGATGCTCCCTTCCCTATTTGTTATGTATATATGTTATGTAAAGTATATTTCAGTTGTGAGCAGATTTTGCATGATTTTGTAGGATGACATGAACTGTGCAGAGGCATATGTGAAATATATGTGTCAATGGCTACTCGACAAGTGTTTAGATGACATGGAACTTATGGCAAAGCTTTATGATAAAGGTTGCATTGATCGTCTAAGAATGGTTTCTTCTACCCCTTTTGAGCGTATTTCTTACACAGAAGCAGTGCGACTGCTAGAGGAGGCAGTGAGGGGTGGTAAGGAGTTTGAGAAGAATGTGGAATGGGGGATTGATTTGGCATCCGAGCATGAAAGGTATGGAAATCTGCCTCCATAGCACATTCTGTCCATTTGATTTGCATGCACCAATGGCTTGGTTTGTCTATATACAGATACTTGACAGAGGAGATATTTAAGAAGCCTGTAATTGTGTACAACTATCCGAAAGGAATAAAAGCTTTCTACATGAGGCTTAATGATGATTCAAAGACAGTGGCTGCTATGGATATCCTTGTACCAAAGGTAAACCTTTCCCTGCACACATTTTAAAGTTTGTACGCCATGTGCTCAGTTCTTACATGTAACATGGTAGTTATTTGCCTACCTTTTTTCCCATTCAAATCGGAGTTGTGGTTTATTGCAGGTGGGAGAATTGATTGGTGGAAGCCAAAGGGAGGAGCGCTATGAGGTTATTCAGCAGAGGTATGGGGAGTCTGCTTGAATGGTCCAACATTAGATTATGCAAAGTAACATGCTCCGTTGTTTTTCTTTTAACTGTAAGTTATGCCCTGACGAGTGCCTTTTTTTTTTTTTGTTGGGGCATTCTCCATTGCAGAATTGTTGAGATGGGACTGCCGCTTGAGCCATATGACTGGTACCTTGACCTGAGACGTTACGGGACTGTAAAACATTGTGGATTTGGCTTGGGCTTTGAGAGGATGATACTTTTTGCCACTGGAATTGACAATATCAGAGATGTCATCCCATTCCCCAGATACCCGGGCAGAGCAGATCTGTGATATTTTAGTTGATAGTATACACAACAATGTTTTCACTTTGCCTATAGAATTCAACGGTCTGTTCTGCTCTACTTCCCAACCTAAATTGTTTGGTTTTTGATGCAGACCTAATTTGCAAACTCAAATCATAGGTGGTGAGGTTTTCTTGTTTTGTAAAACGTATTTTATGCTATATGGTCAACGATGCTGCTTGAGATTTTCTTCTGGCGATATTTGTCTGTCTCCTATTGCAGTTTTTGGGTACTTACAGCCTCAGCTAAGGCTAACTCTTACCAGTATCATTGAAGCTAACTGGCTGATTCTCACCGGTTACTTAATTCGAGTTTGCTTCCTGCAACATTTGTTCTTACCTTTACACCTATTGTTTTCTGGAAATAAACAAAAGATATTAAAACACTTTGATTATATTAAATTTTAATTTTAATTTTTTGTTACTGTTATGTATTTTGTTTTGATTTTTTTTTAATTTTATCTTTTGAAATTTGATTTTTATATTAATTTTAGTTTTTGATTTTTTAGTTATTACTTTTTTAGTTTTTTTAATTAAAATTTTTTATCTATTAACTTTGTTTTTAAATTTTTTCATTACTATTTATTTTATTTAAAATAATTGATTAAATTATATATATTTTAATTTTTTAATGTTTTTACTTGTTAGATTTAATTTTTATTATGATTATTATTATTTATTTATTTTAAATATTTAATGAAATAAGATGTTTTTTAAATTTTATTCTCCTTTAGTTTTTTTATTTTATGTTTTAAATTTGGTTTTTAATTTTTTAATAAACCTAAAAGTTATGGTGGGACATAGTAAACTTGTAAGATTAAGAGAGTGTTCGAGAAAGAAGGTAATTGTTTATAAAAATATTTTTTATTTAAAAATATATTAAAATAATATTTTTTTATTTTTTAAAAATTATTTTTGATATTAACATATCAAAAAATATAATAAATAAATAAATTTTAATTTTTTAAAAAATATTTTTAAAATATAAAAACAAACAAGATTTAAATTAATTGAAATATTTAAACTATTCAGTAATAAATTATGATATTATAATGTGAATAAATATGTACTATGTTATTTGAATTAAATTGACTATGAAGCACAAAAACTTATTATAATAGCTTTAATAGCTAGATTAATATAAAAAAGATAAATACTATTTTAAATTTTATATAATTTTATATTTGTATTTATTTCTATTTAAAAGTTACATAAAAATTAATTAATTTATATATATTTGACACCATTGAATAATATGTAATAAGATAAAATCTTCATTACTATCCGATCTACAATTTTTTATATATAATTATGTACATATAATGACAAAAAAACAAATACAAGTTTTCTTTAAATAAAAATTGCAATATTGTTTCTAATTAAATTTACTTAGGATGAAACTTGTGATTAGACAATAACTATTTCTATAAAAAAAAAATGCAGATTTTAGATCTTGAATCCTAAAAAAAAAATTTACTTTCTCCAAAAAGCACCACCTCAAAAAAAGCACATGAGTTTTTGAGTTAGAAGGAAATGAAGAAAGAAATAAACAAAGTAATAAATAAATAAAATGAATAAAAACCTCATAAGAGAAAAGAAAAATAAATTGCAGGAACTTGAATATATAAAGCTAACCATCATTCACAATGCTCATGACCTTTTTAATTATGTAAAATTTGAATCATATTTAAACATATAATCCCAATCCTAGATAGATGTTGATATAAAGTAAGGAGATTTTATTTAATTTTAATACAAGCTAAACTCTTTTTTTATTGATGCTACATGAAATCCTGGGCTAATCTTATAAATTTTTTAAAATTAATTATTTTATTAAGGGCTCTTGTTTTAAATAGAACTAAGTCTTTTGGTTCCATTTAAAATCTATTATTCAATCGGTTTTTCTTAGTCAATTATGATTCTTAATCGTTTGATCAAATGCTTCCTCAAATCTTTTAGTTAATTGAGACTTTTTCAATAAAATCAATATACTATACTCAATTGATTTTAACTCTTTTTTTTAGTTTGTTAG